ATGTGAGTATCAGTCACATGGAGGCAGGGCTTAAAAGCCTGAATTTTGCCTGAAACTCTCAGACTGAAGAAGTCTCTTGGAGGAGAGACGAGACGTTTCATTAGAGAAGAACCTGTCCAGAAGACCTATACAATTTTTTTCTTTTCAAATATAGTAATGTATTGCAAAATCTGTGATGGCGTAAGTTTCTGAGACTCTGTGAAATTATCTTTAYCTCAATGTCTTCCCTATYGGCCTTGGGKGGAGGGGGTGTCAACGACACAAAGATTTTAAGTTTTTAGTAACACTGTAATGTTTGAGACACTGCATGCAGTGTTGGTCCAGTCCAGAAAAAAATAAAGAATGATTGCCCACTCCTTTGTTGAATAAAATTAATTTTTAAAGGCTCTAATTCTGAGTCTCATTTGATCTAAAAATATATACTGCATATCTAGCAAAACAAAACAATACAAAAAGCACAGCTTATCTCTGTGGTTAAGATGCACTTTCTAATCATCTGATTTGTAAAAGATGACAGTCAAATAAAAAAGATGAAACCTTTAGTAAGAACCAGATGAACTGAGGTTTCACTGTGGCAGTCATTTTTACCTGTTTAATCATCACCATGGCATCATGGTGAATGTTTCACAATTAAACACAGACTTTCTGAAAACTGTGACAAACATGCTTGTTAGAAAAAAAATGCTTGTTAGAAAAAAATGCTTGTTAGAAAGCATATTACTTTAATCAGAGAAAAAAAACATTGATAGACTAACAAATTTCAATGAAACATGTGATAAATAATCTTTGTATGCACGTCTTAAACTGATTAACTTTTTAACTTATCTAAACTCAAGATAGCTGCAGTCAAATGACCTCGGAAGAAAAAAAAAGCAGTGAACTAAAACTCTGAGTGGTTGTAGCAGAGAGACGTTCAAAACACATACTCTGAGCGTGACATCTTGCAAAATTACGTCAGATTATACATATTAGGGTTTGACTAAAACTCTGTTATTCCTCAACATAAGAGGAACTCAGTCCGCATGGAAGAGTTAATGCTAGGCCCTTTAATCCACTACTGATTTCACATCATCTGCATYATATGATAAAGAGCCAGCAAACTAACTTTGGATCAAAGTCCCAAACTTACAGCAGCYTCTGACAGCTGAGAGAGGGGGGTGGGGGTCGGCAGTGAGTAGTAGTGAAACATTAGAAAAACATGTGTCGCACATGGTAACAGGGGACACCGACGTGCAGAGCAAATGGAGGCTGCGAGGATGTGATTGGCTGACCCGGGCGTCACTCAGCAGGAACACTGTTCACCACAACCCGCCGGAGACGTCAAAAGGGCAAGATAAGGAGCTTTGCAGTGCGCTGCCACACGTCTTTACATTCATGTTGTGCCTCTGAAACAGAGAGGGACGACAGCTGACAGGTTAGCTGGGTGATACTAGCTAAATATGGCTAGTTTTATTTTATAATTATTTTACAAAGCAGCTCTTGTACACTATTTATAAGCACCGGTTAGACTCGCTGCCCTGTCAACACATTTAATTCATAAATGTCGCTCAGTTCTGCTGAATGAATCAGAAAATACGTTTCATTAAAAGCCCACGGTGAAGGTAGGTTATCCGCTCAATGTCTGACACTGGCAGAAAATAATGACATCGGTTTTAAAAATACAAACTTCCCTGTTATTTGCCGTCCAAAGAGAGTTTGAGAGTGGTTTGTTATTACCAGCAGCGATCTCTCTACACAGAAACATACCTGCTTACGTCTGTTCTGGTTCTACAAATGCGTCACTAAATCATTACTAGAAGTTCGGTAACAACTAGTTCCGTCGGTTCGCAGTAAAAAAAAACGGAAAAAGGTTAGCTGGACCTTTAGCCACATTAGCTTTAATAAACTAGTCTCTGCCAAAGACGGTAACTTTTAACAGGGACGTATATCAACGCTTGTGTTTCTAATGAGACTTTATGTTGTGACGAGCAGGTGAACAGCGGTTCTGTTCGGTGACACAACACCAAACCGTCTCCGTTTTCAAAACAGCCAAAGCTAGGCCAAACTTGCAGCCGAAATGGATATAGCGAGTCCAAATGCCCCGAAAAAAAGTCAGCACAACGTAGCAGAGAAGGCTGATAAGGTCAGAAGCAAACGCTAGCTAATGCTAGCTCACACAGCTCCGCTTGTTGTTGTGACCGAGGGGGGAGGAACAGCGGGCTGCCCCGGTACCAGAGCACTGTCAGGGTTTTCCCTCTGAATGTGCGCCATATCGTCACACGGCGCTGTAGTAGTAAAGAGGCTAAATGTCTRCACGCCTACCTGGCGGGAGCTAGGGTATCAAAATGCGAAAATAAACTTCCAAGCCGGTTTGCTGGTTTCCTTACCTGCCGTGGCCTGAAGTGGAGAGAAGCAGCGAAAGGGGAGCGGCTGGTTCTCTCCCGCTGCCGTTCCGAGCTTCGAGCTCTGGAATCCACTGCGGCAACAGCGCCTGTCATGGACGCCGACAGAAATGGCGCCGTTTTCACGTCTAGCGCTTCTTCGGCAGCCTCAACGAAACCGGCGACATTCGGGCTCAAGCGGACGGAAGGTCATTCCCTGGTGACATAACAGGAGTGGAGCCAACATGTCCGCCTCCCACAGACAGTTCCAGTCTGACGCGACCGCTCGATGCGCCACCCTCCGCGTTCGTAACCAGGCAACACAGGCGAAGCGCTACCGTCCTGCTGCTGCTGGTTTGACGCTTCCGCTGGAGTATTGCATCAGAAGTCCAACTAGTACTCTGATCATCTTGTTCTCACGCAACTCTGACACGAATAAAAACTATTAATACACTAGTTTTTATGCATTAATTCAAATTGAAATTTATTGTACAATTGTCTCTGTTATTTGCACAAATGATAATGTGAAAGAATGTCAAATAATTAGATTACATAGGCCTACGAAATTCCCTTATATTTTTTGTGAAAGCAAAAATAGATAAATAAATAAATAAATAAACTGTTCTTTTCAATAGGGGCAGTCTTGTTTAAAGCAACTCAAAGTAATACTTGAGTGACAGTACAAGTATCTTATCATAAAATAAGTTTGGTAAAAGTTAAACTGCCTTCTAAGAAAGGGGAGCGGCTGGTTGAGTAAAAGTCTTAAAGTATCTAATATATTTTGTACTTAAGTATCAAAAGAAAAACTTCTTACATAAAATCTACTTAAGTATTAAAAGAAAAAGAGTAAAAATGAGTGACTAGATTTTCCAAAATTACATTTACTGGGAAGTAACCCTCTCAAAAAATGTTTTTTAAAGGCCAAAATGACTATAATGTCATATAGCAATGTTAATGTTAAAAAACTGTAGAATGCACTATACCTGTTTCAGTACACACACACACACACACACACACACACACACACACACACACACACACACACACACACACACACACAC